ATTATAGACAGGGTGGAAAGAATAGGATTATGTTTTGATGTGAAAAAGCATTAGACAAGTTAAATTAACCTGACTGATGGGAAACACCAAACTAAAAAACTCCCTCAATTAAAAAATAAAAAACAGAACTAAAATAATTTTCTAAATTATTTATTAATAAAATTAAAATTCATTAAAATATGCAATTAATTAATTACAATTGTGAAATAATCACACATATTAGTGATTTGTTGGAAAAATACACATGCTGAAAAAATGGGGGGGGAAAAAAAACATGCTAGGCCAGAGTGGACATTTTTTTATTTCAGCTTACAAATAGAGAAACTGTGGCTAATTTAAAATACTGCATTAACTACCCACGGCACAATAACAAACCATTAATAACACGGACATCATATGTATAGTGTTAATGGCCAGATCTCTGCATGGTGTTTTTATTTTTATTAATAGCGCCACAACTGTTATAATGACATGACCTGCAGTGGAAAATACTTGAAATTAAATTAATGAATAAATTATACTCTCTCCTCACCCCATAACCCTGAAGGCAGTACGGTGTTCGGTTGCGGGAGGAACTGTAGGATTTACGTTATCTGGCAAAGTCTTTCCTCTCGTTCTTCCTTTTCTGTTTTCTCATTCATTCTTTGACTTCATCCCACACGCCATTCGACATTCTCTTGTAGTGCTGAGGTTTTTTATGGCGCCCGTTCACCATCATTCTCATAGCCTGGCATTGATTATTGTGCTGTATTTCAGGAGTTGCTCCTAAAGCAATGATTATTGGCTTGCACATAAAGAAAAACCCAAGTTAACCTAAAAATACTTCTATCAGGACACAAAAGAAGCGGTTAAAGCGGTATTAAAATCCAACCTGAAGCCATGGGGGCTTTTGTGCAGGGTTGCATGTGTTGCAGGGTTATGGCTGGGGGGGGTCTTCAACCACTGACCAAACAATAAATTGATTGTGGCAGGTCAGAACGAGGGCATGCAAGGATGTGCTGGTTTATCCTTACCTCCAGCTTACCCATCATTACACTCCCTGAAAGTTATTTGGTCTTTTACCATACATTTTAGCCGATTCGGAAACAAATTCAAGGAAAGCCGAGACTTAACATTGTGCTTTCACATGCCTCTTTAATGTGTAAGTAATTAAACACATAGTAGGTTGTTTGTGAAAATATGGTGTAAAGGTCTGATGATTGAATGTGTCAGACTTTTTTCGGTTTCATAAAAGTAGCATGCAGAACAAATCACTAGGGAATAGTAATTTGGAAAAGAAATGTATGCATTTTATTCTAATAAAAAGAACTAATATTTTGGTAATGTACCATTTATTTTCAATAATGTCATCAAAATCTTCATTTCTTGTCTGTATATAAATTTTTTTTGTGAGATCCAGTCAGCGTCTACTTTTGGGGGGGAGGAACAAAGACTTTTTAAGCCCTGACTCAAGAGAATAGCACCTTTGGTAGATCCCTCATGCATCAGCGAAGTAAAGGTTGCGAAAATGTCAGTTTCACACTCTCGGAAACACCACACGGGTTGCATTTTCATTGATCCACAGCAAGGACAATGCACACTCAAGAGAGTGTTAAAAAATGTATGGTCAGACACCATTATAGACAGGGTGGAAAGAATAGGATTATGTTTTGATGTGAAAAAGCATTAGACAAGTTAAATTAACCTGACTGATGGGAAACACCAAACTAAAAAACTCCCTCAATTAAAAAATAAAAAACAGAACTAAAATAATTTTCTAAATTATTTATTAATAAAATTAAAATTCATTAAAATATGCAATTAATTAATTACAATTGTGAAATAATCACACATATTAGTGATTTGTTGGAAAAATACACATGCTGAAAAAATGGGGGGGGAAAAAAAACATGCTAGGCCAGAGTGGACATTTTTTTATTTCAGCTTACAAATAGAGAAACTGTGGCTAATTTAAAATACTGCATTAACTACCCACGGCACAATAACAAACCATTAATAACACGGACATCATATGTATAGTGTTAATGGCCAGATCTCTGCATGGTGTTTTTATTTTTATTAATAGCGCCACAACTGTTATAATGACATGACCTGCAGTGGAAAATACTTGAAATTAAATTAATGAATAAATTATACTCTCTCCTCACCCCATAACCCTGAAGGCAGTACGGTGTTCGGTTGCGGGAGGAACTGTAGGATTTACGTTATCTGGCAAAGTCTTTCCTCTCGTTCTTCCTTTTCTGTTTTCTCATTCATTCTTTGACTTCATCCCACACGCCATTCGACATTCTCTTGTAGTGCTGAGGTTTTTTATGGCGCCCGTTCACCATCATTCTCATAGCCTGGCATTGATTATTGTGCTGTATTTCAGGAGTTGCTCCTAAAGCAATGATTATTGGCTTGCACATAAAGAAAAACCCAAGTTAACCTAAAAATACTTCTATCAGGACACAAAAGAAGCGGTTAAAGCGGTATTAAAATCCAACCTGAAGCCATGGGGGCTTTTGTGCAGGGTTGCATGTGTTGCAGGGTTATGGCTGGGGGGGGTCTTCAACCACTGACCAAACAATAAATTGATTGTGGCAGGTCAGAACGAGGGCATGCAAGGATGTGCTGGTTTATCCTTACCTCCAGCTTACCCATCATTACACTCCCTGAAAGTTATTTGGTCTTTTACCATACATTTTAGCCGATTCGGAAACAAATTCAAGGAAAGCCGAGGGTTGTAAGTAGAGCTGCTGGCCCGCTTGGTAAGTTACTAATGCGTTACTTTACTAGTTACTTGGAAAAAAGCAATCTGATTAAGTAATGTGCATTACTTGTAATGCGAGTTACGTAATCAGATTATTTTTTACCCCAACACTGTTTAATATAATTATTTTAATATTATCATAAATAATCATTATAATCTATATCAGGTTGCTCAGTTGCTCTATTTATAAACATACACTTCATATACTTTTTAATTATTATATTATTTATGATTTATGATCAATTATAATTTATATAACTAAATATATTTCTGTGGCAATAATATATTTTTAATAATATCTATTTATTCATATATTTATGCTGGTATATTTATAAAATATGCATAAAACAAATATTAATTATATAAATTAAAAACATAAATCAGTGGTGTGCAAAGTGGTTAGTCAATGTATATTAAGTGTTCTATTAATCTTCATTATCACATAAAATATCCATAAATGAAAAATAACCTAACAAATAAATAAAATGTTTGACTGATGAATTGCTTTTAAACTCTAAAACATCAGGTTTATTTTAAAAGTGGAAATTAACAATCATCAGAGCTAAAATGTGGATCACTGAAATAATTTCTTGCCAAATTAGTGGCTGAATAGCACAATCTGACCCACGTTTCTGAGTCAACAGTTGGTAGTTCAGTGTGGGAACGTTCTAGTCACTGACCACGCTTGGCGTGAGAACCAGTCTGACCGCAAGAACAACACGAAAGAAATAGCCTTTCAAACATGTAAAAAAGCTGTACCTTTCAAAAACTGCACAGTCCTATTCCAGATAATCAGCCGATAATCAATCTGTAGCTGTGCTGGAATCGCTTGAATTTGCTGTGACACTGCTTTTTGAATAAGCAATTAGATGCATTCTCAGCACTGCTAAAAACATTCGACTAACTCCATTTCCATGAGTTCACGAGTTCAAACGAACATCTGAGCGAAGCATCAATATGGGTAGAAAATATGTTTAGTAAATAAACAGCCTGCTCTACAACAAAAGTTCATCCCGCTGACAAATGGAAACTAGTAAGTAAAGATCATCAATTTTACCCTTGAAAACGCACAGTTTTTCTCTTCTTCAGACCGCTGCCTTTCCTCACCCAAAACGCTTTGAAAGACCAAAGCAATTTTAAACCTCACTTCAACACCACACAAACTAGGCTTGCTGTGAAAGACGGTGCTGACGGTGATACAGGTGTTAAGCTGCAACACCGGTTACGTCACTTGCCCACCGCGTCACCGACACCCACTGTCGGTTTGATTTTTTTTATAGTAATAAAAATAATTTAGTTCAGTAAAAGAACAGACAATTAAAAACTGAACGCGGCTGTTCAATGCAGCGTGCCGAACGACAGTCGCATCACAGATCAGATTTCATTTCTCCAGTGAGGAGAGTGAGTCGAGCTGACTGACAAGAAGAGTGAGGTGAGACAGACAAGACGATCGCGGATGATTTAGTTTCATAAACGAAATGCAAAAGCGCCTGTTTGGCAATATTTTGGATTTTTAAAAGCCTGTTGACTTTTGCCATTTATCTGATTTTGGAAGTTTTTTTTAAACATTCGGTTCTTATTGAATTGGTTCCACATTGTTTTATTTTACTTTATTTAAACTTTGTGTCATTTATTTATTTTATTTGACATCAAGGTGTATGCCGTGCCTCCAAGCTTTCTTACTCGTTTTGCTAATAAACGTTCTACTTTCTTATTTATTTGGTTATATATTATACATGTGTACTTATTTCCAGTTTTGTATACCTATTTAAACTATGTAAGTTATTTGTTATTTTATATTAGGCATAAGCCTGCCCTATAGCATGGTGTATTTTTATTTGTTTTGTTAATAAAAGTTATATGTTTTATATATATATACGCTAAAGTGAGTTTGACGTTGTATTTTGTTGTTGCATTCAAGCAATTGACGCCGAATTGCCGCTAATTCGAAAAAGCGAAGGAAAGCCAGGAAAAGAGGGAACGCCCCCGCGGTGATACCGGTATTACCGGTGTTGTCACACATCGATTGACCGGTAGGAAAATTTCCTCACCGTCACAACCCTAACACGAACTCCCTTGGTACATCTGTTGAGTGTATTTACTAAACTGCTATGAACAAACAAGAAAAAGATCCATAAATGTGGATGCTACATTGTTGAGAAGCGTATGCCTGCTAGTTAGCAAAAAATGGGATGGAATGTGACTTTTGCGAAAATAAAAACCAGTGGTAATGGTTGTCATCTCTTACCTTGGTGATTAGGATGCGGTATTGCTCCAGCAGAGGCCGATCGTTGTGGGAGTCAGACAGGAGCTGCCAGACTTCAGCTCGTAAGGCCTCCGGGATCCCAGGCTTCACCAGAGCAGACAGACCCTTGGGTCGCGCCAACAGGTTTCCTTGCCTGACAGGTGGAAGACAGACGGCGTCATTGCAGCACAACAGAGCTGGTATTTTGCAGTCATGTTCAATATAGATTGCGCTCCAAATCTGGTCATACTCTCATGTCGTGCCAAAAGTCTCACCATCTGTTGAGGATCCCTCCCCAGGATTCCAAAATCTTCTCGGGACAGTCCTTCGACACGTCTCCTGTCCCACTAGAGATCTCACTGTCGCTATCTGTACAGCGGGGGACAAAGATAAATGTTTGTTAATGCTGTTATTGGTGAAAAACGTGTCATGACGATGATTCATTTTTAAAAAATATCGAGAAAAAAAATAACAGCACCAAATATTAGTAATGCATTAAGAATGTAGCACAATCTAAAAAATAGCCAATAATATAAGAGATATTAGATCAAATTTAGCTGAAGTGGTAAACTATAAAGTGCTTTGTTAGCAGGTTAATGAACTCACATAAAACACATCCTATACATACAAGATTAACCAGATTAGAAAACATAAATATAATATCGCGTAATACATCTGCACAAAATGGCGCAAATGCTTAAACGTAAAGTTACACACTTGTCAGAATGTGTAAGTCGTCATGTGGAAAAGCTCTTTTCATAAAAACATGCTAAAACATGGACACTGAACGAAAGCATAAAGAAATTATAATAGTGTTTTATAATTAGGGGTCGACTGATTATTACCGCCGATATTAAGCATTTTTATGGTTATCGGTATCAGTCATTTCCAAAACCGATTTGCCGATAAAATAATTTAAAAGCATTTAAAGAACGTTTTTGCCCCTTCTTACTCTTAATTTTAATGATAATTTTCATTTTTACACCAGACATAAATATCGGTTCAAAATATTGGTTATCGGCCTACTTTGATCTGTAATAATCGGTATATGCATCAACACATATCGGCCGGCCCCTAATTATAATACCAAACTTGTTTTTGTTCAATTATATGTTTAAATGATAAAATATACAGTTTTGCTTTCCACTTTCCCATCAACTCAAATATTATTTTCAGATGCCATTTACTAAATATATTACTAAACAAATATTTTTGTTCAAAGACAAGAACAATGACTACAGGTTATTGTTTGAACGAAATCTTCATGATATTTTGCAAGCAAAAAATAAAGTCAATTATTGTCAACAGTGTAGAGATGTATGAAGCACCGTCATTTTCAAACAAAGCGGGCTTATGTTTCATAATTCACATAACCAACTTGAAGCAATTGCAAAATCTGCCAGGGGAAATCTTCCGTCGTCATGAATTTTGCAAAAAATCCTGTTTGTGTGTATTCCTATTAAAATTACTGAATTTTTATTGTAAATGTGACCACATTTTTTTTTTAAAAATGGCAAAATGACTACAGCTATTGAGAGCAATACTTTCCCGAAATTTCAGACAAAAAATGTCTTGTCAATAGTATAAAGCAAATCCCCGAAAAAAATCTCTTGACTACCTTGAACCTGTTGCGAAATCTATGTTGGCAAATCTTTTTCCCAACCTTGTTTATTCCTATTAAAATAAATGGATATGCCCGTGAACAACAGTAAATGTAACTGCAAATTAAAACAAAAACAACTGTAAAAATAACACTGGCTCTATCAATTATGGCCATATGGTGGGCATTCTGCCACACTACCGCTGTTGTCACGCTTTGATAGCAATATTTAAACATAACAAATCAATATTAAAGGTGCCATAGAATGCATTGATACAATATTTTAAATTGTTCTCTGATATCTACATAGAAGGTATGTGGCTTAGGTAAGGGCAAAAAAATCTCCAGAAACGGTTTTACATGTCCATTTACAACCCTAGGATTTGTCCCTAGAATGAAATGGTCTGTTTTTACCTTATTTGGAAGAGTCATGAATAATAATGTTGAGCTCTGCTCTGATTGGCTGTTTCACAGTGCGGCTCATTTCAGTAGCTCACACAACAGGAAGGAAACACAGGGAAAATGGGGGCGTGACTATTAGTGGGGGCGTGACTATTAGTGATCCCGACTGTAACGTCACAGTCGGTGTTATGTTCTGATTCGCCTATTTTTCAGTGGTCTTTTGCATGCAAGAGATTTACATAAGGAGGAGGAAACAATGGTGTTTGAGGCTCACGGTATGTCATTTTCACGTACAGAACTGTTATTATTCAACTATGCCAAGGTAAATACAGTTTTCCATTCTATGGCACCTTTAAGATCTAAGTGACGCAATCAGATCCCACTTTAAGCTCAAGTCATATCCCTCCGGTGAGAGTCTACGCCCTGAGTCTCAAAGTGCATCCTGTCCTGTCGTTGCCGACTGCAAATGCGTGTACGTTGTGGGCAAACATCACTCCTACAACTCCCTGCAGGGCAGCACTTCAGATGACTCCATTCGGGCATGTTAGGATGCTGCACGACTCCTTTAAAACACAGCATTCAGGCGAAATGACAGAATCGTCCTTGCAGCATCCAGAAGACCGAGGTGAGTTATGCGGTGGACGCACCTGCATTAGTCTGGGCCGCGGAGTGCCAAGATTACTGTCACGCCTTGAGGTGATAAAGAAAATGTCTTGGACTTAATGTCTGCAAAGGTCATTAAGAGCGGACCAGCAGACTCTCTGCCCTCCAAGCCCATATCTCAAGGTCTGCGGCCACAACATGTCTGTCGTAAAGATGTTTGGAGGGAATGAACGGCAATGCATTTGGTGGCTTCAACTATGTAAGTCTGAAAAAGACAGTAATTGTAATTACGGCAAGAAGCAGCAAGATTTTAAAGTAATGATCTTTAAATAATAAACAGAACAGAAACAGAAACAGAGGGAATTAATTTATGGGTCACCAAACTGAAAACTGCTTTTTGAGCCCATTTACAATGTTCGTGACCTCCAGCGAGAGCCTCAAATGCCGTACATTTTACAATGTGAGGTCTGGAACACAGTGGTTTCTTTTGAAACGCTTTAAAAGGGTTTCTTTTTACATTTACTGCACAAGTACCTTGGCAACGTTGCAAGGAGAGAGATTGAGATAGGGAGAGAGAGAGAGAGCCTTGAGCAGAGCCTCTGTCACAAGGTGACATGGCGGTTTGGTAGCAGATGTGGGCGGATGAATCTTCTTTTCCATCTGCCTCCCCAATAGATCTCAGAAACGGTGGAGAAAGCTGGCGAGGGCAAACGCTTCCAAAAACAACAATGACTTTCTTGTACAGCCCAGAAATCGAGGCTTGGAACAAATTGCACAAACCAAAAGATGATATTCGATGAGAACGGCTGAATAAAAAGGAATCATTCATTCATTTAGCAGAAGGTCCACAGAGAAGCTTCACAAGACGAGTTTTGATTTATGAAATGTAGTTACTGCTGGAAAATATTTTAGTGGTAAAGATATTAAGGATGCATGGCAATATATTGGTGAACATACCAGTAAATATTACCAATACTGCTCATACTTTGGGTTACGTATTTTAACAAACTGCCAACAAACAGTTTTGCACTGACATATTGATTATAAAAAAACAACAACAAGATCACTATTTTTAAATTTGCCATGGGTCAACTAACGATTAACCCCAAAATAACCTTTAATTATTTTATTTTCAGATGCTTATACTTTATTAGTATTGTTAGTTATTTTAGCAACATTGAGATATAGTTATTATTATTTTTAATTTTAAATGTTTTTTATTTTTATATAATCTACTTTCATTTTAATTTTAATAAAAATTTTAGTAATTTTGTATTTGTATTAGTTAATTTTGGTAATTTGTGTGCTTTTGTCATCTTTGTTAGTCTTTGTTTAAATATGTCTACAAAGTTGTCATTAATTTTCATATCAGTTTTAGTTATTTTAATACATCAAAATACTAAATGAAAATGAAAAATAAAATAAGTTGACTTAAAAAAACTCGATATCGACTCTGTGGATACATTTGTTCTCTTTAAATGATATATTAACACATTTTTCAACTGATTTATGAGCTACAAAAGTTCAGGTAGTCCTATATCATTCATGTTATCAAATATGGGGCCTGACTATGAGGAAAAACTAATTGCTTAGCCTATGGAAATCTGTCCCGTACTATACATAACAAGACTCGTATTTTATTCCAGCTCTGTTTTGCAAACATATGGAGTTCCTGTATTTATGTTTTGTAAAATGTGAACATCCGCCAAATCTGGCAACCTTCAACATCACCTAAATTATGTAAATAGCCTTGCCCTCAATTCCTTCTAGGCAGTTACATACTAGGGCTGCCACTAACAACTACTTTTATTTCGATTAATCTATCGACTAATTTATCGATTAATCCAAACGATTAATTTCCCACAAAAAATAAACAATTTTACTTAAGAATATTTTATTCAACTATATTTTATTAAACCAAATGAAATCCAAATTTCTATGAAATCCTTTTTTAAAGCAAAAGTAAAGTGCAACATAGAGTGCAAGAAGCAAGTGTCCATCTCATAGTCCAAATCACTGAAATCAAAGTTCAGTATTATAGTGTAAGAATGACAACATATCCACATGTTCTAGTTTACTAATAATAAATCTACCAGAATTGTTATTTACCAGAATTTATTTTTGAGAAAAATGTAAATGTGCAGTATTTCTGAAAGAAAATTTATTTTTTTTAATAAAATTAATTGGAGATGCTTTTGATTATTAAAATTGAATGGAACCATGGAATCCAGAAAATAATGAAAAACAGAATTTGGTAAAGATAAAACTGTAAAACTCAATTAATTAGACAGGCTTTTTGATTAATAACATCTTATTTAACCATTAAAACAGATTATAGAAAAATGGAAATGGAAAAAAAATGAATTTGGAAATAAAACTGATATCATAGGGTCCTATAATTATATAATTAATTTTTTTTGTGGTAATAAAAATAGATGCAAGTGAAAAATAGCCAATAAAATTACTTATAATACATATATAATAACAATGAGGCAATAATAATTAGTTCAAATAAAGTATCAAAAGCAAG